GGGGCGGTATCCTCATAAGTTTAGGTTGAAACTGAAGAGAATTCAAACAAGTCCACAAAAGCCAAAACACAACTTTGAGTCTATCCCACCTAAAATTCCAGAACATCTCAAGAACAGATTTGCTGCATTGCACACTAATGACAGAAGACCTGATGCGCTGTGGGAGGATGTCAAGACCATCCTTCATGAAGAGAGCAAAAAAGTCATTAAAAAGACAGGAAAGACAACTCAGCACGGATGTCAGAAGAGACCAAAATTTGCCCTTAATCAGAGTAACTAGGACAAATGGAAGAAAGAATGAAGTCAAAGAGCTGAATGGGACATTTCAAAGGGCAGCTCAAGAACACAAAGTCAAATATTATAATAATGTGCAAAGACCGAGAGTTAGGAAACAGAAAAGGAAGAACATACTCAGCACATCTTAAACAGAAAGCTGCAATCTTGCAAGATTCCGTGGGCAACATACTGGATGAAGCAGGAAGCACCAATGGAAGATGGAAAGAGGAGTGTCATGTTAGCCTGTGGGCAAGAACCAGCGGTACTGAAGGCAGGCGCTCAAGCTGCACTGACGGCATTAGCCACAAACCAGGCTCCAGGAGTCAATGGAAGGCCAATGGAAATGTTTCAACAAGCTGCTACAGCACTGGAAGCACTTACTCTTCTATGCCAGTAAATTTGGAAGACGGCAACTTGGCCAACTGACAAGAGGAGATCCAGGTTTGTATCCATTCCAAAGAAAAGTGACCCAACAGAATGCTCAAATTACAGAACATGATTGATAGCACATGCAAGTAACATTTTGCTTAAGATCATCCAGTTGTGGTTGCAGCCCTGTATTGATTGACAGGGAGCTGTCAGAGGATCAGGTCCGATTCAGAAGAGGACGTGGGACAAGGGATGTCACTGCTGTCAGATGGTTCTCGACTGAAAGCAAAAAATGCCAGGAAAATGTTTTTGTGTTTTATTGACTATGCTTGCGCAGGCATTTGACTGTGTGAATCATGTCAAATCATAGAAAAACGGGAATCAAGAGGCAGTTGTGTGAACAGAACAAGGGCACACTGCATGGCTTAAAATCAGGAAAG